GCAGAACTTGTTTCAAAAATACAGATCCTGGGAATTCCGATTGGCAGCTCACACCTGGAAACTCCCACCGTAACTTTAACAATTCCAGGTAATTTTAGCTTTATTTATAACAGCTAGCTATAAACACAAAACTACTCAATTCTGAAGTATTTGGAAACCAGGTCTAATGAGGTTGTGTGTTCTAATTTTTGTAGTCCTGTTGTCAGTATCCAGACAAAATTGGAAAATAGGACTTCACTACCACTGTATGCAACTTGGTGCACGTTCTAAGAACTCTTCCCAAACTTGCTTCTGTGACGCCCCAAGCCTTGTCTCATTTATATCCAGAACTTCTTGACAGTGTACAAATAAAAAGTAGCTAAATTGTTTAAATTACAAAGATACATTGAAAACTGCTGTTTGAATTATTTTGAGAAAAGACCATGTTGTATATTAATATTTGTACTATTTTAACCAAGTAAAGACTACATTGTAAATGACTCCTTAAGCAAAAAAGTGTCATGGAATCAAACCAATGAAAAGAATCAGATATGACCTTGGGCTAATTACTCCAATCTCCATGCTCCCTTTAAAAAGATTTTGTTATCTATTTGAAAAAGCAAAGTTGAAGACAGAGGGAAAGAGAGATCTTTTATCTGTTGTTTCATTCCTCACATGGCTTCAACACCCATTGGGTGTGTGGGCCTACCTCAGCAGTATCACCTGGGTTCCCCACACGTGTGGCAGGGGCCCAACACTTAGGTCATCTGCCGCTGCTTTCCCTAGGGAAATGTAGGGAGCTGGATTGGACGTAGAGCAGTTAGGACCTGAATTGGCACTGCGCAGGATGCTGGTATCACAGGTTCTACATCATAACATTGCCTACCTCCTCCCCCAAGCACCTTCTTCTAAAACTGGATGTTTTTGCCTGTTTCCTGTGGCTATAACAAAATACCCGAGGTTGAGTAATTTATAAAGACAGACAGTGGCGGAGGCATGGAACTGATCTCATGATGGGTAGCATCATATGGTAGAGTGTGTGTGTGTCAGAGTGGCCAGGGGGCACCTGCACAGGGGAAGTCACATGGTGAGGCAGGGAAGGTGCTGGGATCGCGTTACAGCAACCACTCTCAGTGTAATCAACCCAGTCCTGTCAGAGTGGGCACTCTGACCCTGGGATGTAATTTCCAGCCAAGTTTTGGTGGAAGCAGACTATAGCCTGGGGGAATAACTCCTTTTGGGACTGGAGGGGTGGGGGGAGGGTCCTGTAATGATTCTGTGAGTTACAGGTGAAGCTTTTCTCTTTTGCTTTGTTTTATAAGATTTTGTAAGATTTTTTTTTTTATTGGAAAGGCAGATTTGCAGAGAGGAGAGACACCAAGAAAGCTCTTCCATCTGCTGGTTCATTCCCCAAGTGGTAATGTAGTGCTCAAGAGTTCATTCACTCGCCATACAGCAGGTGTATTAATAACTTACTACTTTCGACCCTTATTACTTACCGAATGCTGATTTATGGCCTAGCACTTTGCAAAGCAAGATAACCATTATTAACATCTTTCTTTGAAGAACTGAAGAGGTTGGCCACAGTCCCATGGCTAGGTTTTTTTGAGCATTTGACAGAGACTATGGCTTTTCAGTCTCATCACCCCAGTGCGCAGCACATAGTAGGGGCTTTATACATGTTTGTTGAGTAAGTATGCAAACCTCTAAGCTCTGTGGGTTTCAAGCACTGGCAGGCTTCATCTTAAAGTTGTTCTGACAAAGGCCTTTTGTGTCGCAATGGATGAAGAATTCGACCAACTTGAAACCGCAGATGCATTGTGGGGTCGCCTCGTGCACATGGCCGATGCCTTCCACATTGACTGATGTAAGCACCTCTGCAGCGGCCAAAGCTCTGATGAACTCAAGATGCCCAGCATCCTCCAAAGCAGGTGCCCACCTGGCTACCACTGGTGTCCTGTCTGTTGGCGGCACTTAGGCCTCTGCTACACAGAGCTACCTGGGTAGGCCTTAGGAGTGAATTCCTCAATCTGTGGTCTCTCTTCTGCAAGAGGGCACAGAGCTACCAGCTGAAATCCCAGTGATTAACCGGGGACACCACAGTCCAGGCAAGGAAATGGGCCTGCAAGAGACCTGAAAAAGGACAAGTCCTAGAAGGGTCAGACCTGGGCATCCCCACTTAGATGGCAGAGCAAGCGAGCATGCCTTCAGGGGGAACACAAGGACGCTGGGCTGTGTCTTCTTGACACCTCCAGGAATGCAGCCCAGCTCCAACAACCTTTTCTTTTCTGGCTATAATCATGACCTCAACTTTCTTCCCAAACTCAGCAAAAGCCTTCTTAGCCCTCATAAAATATCCCACACACTTTGTTTTTCCTTATCAGAGGTGTGTGCAGGTGTTGAGCCATCCATAACTATTTGACCTACGTATTGTCTGGCTTCCCCCCCCCCCCCGAGGATGGGTGACCTCAGAGGGTGGGACTGTGTGACCCTTCCCTGCACATGGCATGGAGCAGGAGTGAGTATGTATTGCTAGATGCATGAAAGAATCAGAAGCAAGCAAACAAACAGAGAAAACCACTTTTTTTTTTTTTTCCTTAAGTCAAGCGTTGTCTTTACTTTTGGAGAGAGAATCCCCAGCTTCCTGTTCATCCATTCTCCAAATCCCTGCAACAGCTGGAGCTGGGCCAGGGCTGGAGCCTTCATCCAGGTCTCCCTCATGGGAAGCAGGGACTCAACTATCTGGGCCTTCACCGTTGCCTCCCAGGGTCTACATTAGCAGCAAGCTTGAGTCAGGAGCGGGAGGCAGGCCCTGAGCCAGACACCCACGCAGGGGAATGTGGGGACATGCTGCCTCTTCTACAGCATGCTAGTTTATTCAGATCCCCAGGGGGAGTCATGCATCCTTCAACCAGACACGGCTAGTCCTTGCACCTGCAACCTACAGCTTGTTCATGCCTCTGCAAGGCAGCAACACCGGGCCAAGGCAGGAAAGGCTGTCACCCCAAAGGCCAAGGGCTGGAAATTCTCGACTCATGGCCGGGGTGAGGGAGTGTGCACGTGCTGACTCCTGGGCAGCATGGCCCGTTACTTCGGGGGAAGACACTGGGGGTCAGAGGACTCAAGAAGGCACAGGGCAGTCTTGGCAAAGGAGCTTTGTGATTCAACTTCCAGCTGTGCCATAGCAGCCACCCCCTCAGAGTGCTGTCACTGCGAGCAGCAGGAGCAAGCAAAGCAGGTGGGATTGAGCTGACAGCTGACAGGTAGCATGTGGCGGAGTATTAGATGTCTGCAAAAACAAGTGCAGGAGCGCTGGGGAGGGTCCCAGGCAAGCCTGAGAAGCCGGGGAGAGCAGCAGCGAGGGCTGACGGGCCCTAGGCACTTCAGCCGGAGCCAGGAGATGGGTTGCGTAACACGTGTAGGGGTGGGGGTGAGGAGGTGTTACAGGAGGATTGTAACAGAACCGCACTGAGAATCAGAATGAGGCACAGCATCCGAAAAGCTGTCACTTGGTCTAACCCCCTGGATCGCATGTATTATTAAGCTCTCCCCCAGGACGGCCAGTCACCAGCGGATAGACGACTGAGTTTTCAAATTCACAATGCGTCTACAAATCTCGGCGGCAGGAATATATACAGCCACTTTTTTTTTTTTCTTTTTGGTAAATCTGTCAGCGTTGCAGGGGTGGAGGTGGGGGAACTTGTGGAACTTCATGTAGCGCGTAGCAGGCGCCGCAGCCCGGCAGAGGCCCGAGGGGTTGCGCGTGCGTCTGCTGCTCAGGGACGTGCACTCCCGCAGCGAGGCAGAGCCCAGACGCCAGCACCCGGCCCGCCACCCTGTCGCCCGCCCAGGGGATCTGGCCGCCAGCGCCTGCGGTGGGGGCAGGCGGGGAGAGGAACCCGTCGTAATGAATATCCCCGGGGGCCTCCTCCCCGTCGCCACCTCCTCTCGCATTCAGCCGAGAAAACAGGCACTGCCCCGGAAATTACACGCACACTGGGAGATTCAGCCCGGAGGCCGGGAAACCTCCGCGGAAAGGAGTCTTGGGGGCCCGTGCGGCAAGATCCCCCAATCAACCCTAAAAAGAACATCCCTCTACCCGAGTCCCTCTCTTCCGTGGCACCGGCTCCTGGGCCGGAGGCCACCGAGGACGCACCCGGCGTCCCTCTCCCGGGTTCCCGCTGACCTCCCCGAGCGGCCGGCTGCGGCGCGCGCGGCCCGACCAGGTGCACCGGCTGCAGCCTCGCCAGGGGCGCGCTCCTCCGGCCGCCGCCGGACACAGGCGGGCCGCGCAGCCGAGCTGTACGGCGTCGCTGGGCGGCGGTTTCCGGGGCCGCCCGGCGCCCAGGCTCCGATTACAGGTTCACACGGGTCCCCCCCCACCCCCCCAAGCCACCCCACCCCAAGTCCGCAGCCGTCCAGCTCCGGCCGGCGCGCCCTCGCACGGCCCCGCTCCTCCGCCTGCCCATTCTTCTCCATTCAAGCGGACGCCCAGCAGCACCGCCGCCGCCGCCAGCTCGGCCGCCGTCGCCGCCGTCCGCCCGGATTGGCTGGCGGCCTCGGCGCCGGCACTTTCCCACGGCCCGCGGCGCGTGCGGCTCAGCGGCGGCGCTGCAGGCGCGGCTCTGGCGCACGGCCAGTCCCATCGGGGCGCGCGGGGCGAGGCGGCCGCCGGCGGGCTGGGGGTCCCGGCCCGGCCCCCAGCGCCTCCCCGCCGCCTGCGCCTCCTCCTCCCCCGCCGAGCCGACGCACCGCCGCCGCCGCCGGCCAGGGTGGGGGGCGCGCGGCCCGCCCGCCCTCGCCCCCAGCTTCGCCCCCGCCCCGCTCTGCTGGGCGGCTGCCGGTCGCCGCGGACGAGCGAGAAATCGGATTGGCCGGGGGTGGGAAGGCTGTTGCCCGGGAGCCGGCGCCCCGCCCCTGCGCCTCCCTGCCCGCCCTCTCCCCCAGGGCCCCCGCCAAGGGGGCTCAGCGTGGGAAAGGGATGGTTGAGTTTTAACCCGAAGCAGAGCGCGAGCGGGAGCAGTGTGCGGCGGACGCGCGAGCGGCGGAGCGCGGGGGAGAGGCGCCGCTCTGGTTAACTCCTGCTTGCCCGCCGCGGCTGACCCTTCCTCGGAGCAGCCACCATGAAGCGCGCTCACCCCGAGTACAGCTCCTCGGATAGCGAGCTGGACGAGACCATAGAGGTGGAGAAGGAGAGTGCGGACGAGAATGGGTGAGTCGGCGGCGGTGACAGCGGGCGCAGAGCCGGGGCGCACCGGCCGCCGCCCGTGGCCACGACCCGGAGGCGCTTTGGCGTCCAAGTTAGCGCGTCAGGCAGTGTGTGGGCACGGGTGGGGGTGACCGCTTGGGTTACCTTGCTGCGCTTCAAGGCGATTCGTAACCTCTTCCCCTCTTTTGAATCTTTCTGTTGCAGAAACTTGAGTTCAGCTCTCGGTTCCATGTCCCCAACTACGTCTTCCCAGATCTTGGCCAGGAAAAGACGGAGAGGCGTGAGTCTCTTGACAATCCTTTTTTTTTTTTTTTTTAACGTATTTATCTTGGTTGTGGATGAACGAAAAGAGCCGCTTCTCTTCTCTTTGGGATTCATGGAAGTGTCCTCCTTTGTTTTGCCTGCTTCCCCCAGATCATCGAGAAACGCAGACGAGACCGGATCAATAACAGTTTATCGGAGCTGAGGAGGCTGGTACCCAGCGCCTTTGAGAAACAGGTACTGGAGGACAGAGGGCGAGCTCTCGGTTATCCGCACTCCCTGAAGGGGAACCTCACCCACGCCTTGGAAAACAGCCCGGTTACTTTGTGCCTAGCAGTAATGCCAGCCAGCCTTATGGAGATGCGTCACGTCCTTCGGGCCACACTTTAGGGTTTATCACGCATGTGAATACATGCGCGTGTGTTGACGCACCTGTGTGTGTGTGTGTTAACGTGTCCTCTTCCTTTAACGTTTTTCCTTTGCCCTTTCTCTCAGGGCTCTGCTAAGCTGGAGAAAGCCGAGATCCTGCAGATGACGGTGGATCATCTGAAAATGCTGCACACCGCAGGAGGGAAAGGTATGCTTCCGTGTGGTTGCTGGCGGGGAGGGCCGGGGATACACTGGGCAGCACCAGCTGTCTGATGCCCTCTCTGCCTGGTTTCTCTCTGCGGGCTGAGGAGGGGCCCGGGAGTGCAGTGGCTGTCAGTAGCACATTTCACAAGGCGTAACTGGGGAAGTCGGTGCCCTCGCCCTGCGCCCTCAGGGCAGTGCGTCTTTTGGATGGCCTCCGAAGTTGTGACGTCCCCCATTCAAGGTGGGGAGCTCTCATCCTTGCCCTTGGCCAGTCTTGCTAAGGAAAATCTTTTGCCTTTAAAATCTGTGGTCTTGATTTCATCTGTAGCATTTTTTTTTTTTCCAGAGAGGGGCTTGACTTGAAGTAAAAACTTGTGGTTCAGTAGAGAAAACCCCAGAGAAAGGTGGCAGACATAGGTTTATGTGTCTTTCTCCAGCCAGAAAATGCCTAGCTGGGGACCCGGTGCCTGAAAGCTCCGCGATGATAACTTACATCTGTGTGTCTAATGAATTTCACTGCTCTGTGGTTTCCCGGGCCTTGATGTATCTTTTGTTGTTGTTGAGGGAAAACATTAAAGGAATGAACATAGTTTCATCTGCTGCTAGGGTATAATTCCAATTTCTGTTGGGCAGCTTCTAATTGGGCTTTGAACTTGCATTAGCAAACACATTCTGCCTGCGGTGATTAATGGCAAAGGTTTGGCTGACTCTCAAAATATGTAGTCTTGAGGGGATACCCAGGAGTGCCCCCCCCCTTGATTGAAGCCTTTGTAAGGGTGCTTGCCCGCGTAGGGCCGGCTGCTCCTGGCACCAAAGAAATGCGGGAAGTGAGCAAAGGCCCCAGGTGGTTCTTTTGTTCTGCTCCCCAGGCTATTTCGACGCGCACGCCCTGGCCATGGACTATCGGAGTTTGGGGTTCCGGGAATGCCTGGCGGAAGTTGCCCGCTACCTGAGCATCATCGAGGGACTGGACGCCTCGGACCCGCTCCGCGTGCGCCTCGTCTCGCACCTCAACAACTACGCCTCGCAGCGGGAAGCCGCCAGCGGCGCCCACGCCAGCCTCGGACACCTTCCTTGGGGGAGCGCCTTTGGACCTCACCCGCACCTCGCACACCCGCTGCTGCTGCCCCAGAACGGCCCCGGGAACTCGGGCGCCGCCGCCTCGCCCACGGAACCGCCCCACCAGGGCAGGTTGTCCTCTGCGCATCCCGAGGCGCCCGCCCTGCGCGCACCCCCTAGCGGCGGCCTTGGACCGGTGCTGCCCGTGGTCACCTCCGCCTCCAAGCTCTCGCCACCTCTGCTGTCCTCCGTGGCTTCGCTGTCGGCCTTCCCCTTCTCCTTTGGTTCCTTCCACTTGCTGGCTCCCAACGCACTGAGTCCTTCGGCACCCACGCAGGCTGCAAACCTTGGCAAGCCCTATAGACCTTGGGGGACGGAGATCGGAGCTTTCTAAAGGACTGATGCTGTAGAAGGAGGGAGGGGAGCGCTTAAGAGCCCAGCTGAGCTGGACTGTTGCCAACACCACCTTAAAGTCGTCAGTAGAAGTAAAAAGGAAGAAGGTACACTTTCACATGAATTTTTTTTAAAGACTCAAGGTTTGTTGGTTTACTTTTTGCTTTTTGATTTTTTTAAATCATGTCATGCATTAGCAGTTCTGACAAACTAGTTGTTACATTTTGTTTAAGACAGTACAATCAACACCTTGGGATAGGTTTGTCCTGTGCCTGACTTATCTTGTAAACCTATCTGTGCGAGAATGATTCCGTTGTGGCCCCAACATTTTGGGAATCTTAGCGTTTAGTATTTTGAGGGTCTGTTTTGCTCCTTGTAAAGTTATGGTCTGTTTTTAGAATTAATTTTCCCAACTCATGATCTCATTGTTAACATGGTTCCATTTGTGAGTATTTTGAAAGATTAAGGTGTTGTATAAAAAATATTCTTTCTTTTTGGTGGGCAAGGGGGGGTTCTATTGAATTTTATATTTCTGAACAAAGCGTTGACAAATCAGATGATAGCTTTAACCAGGAAGGAGGATCAGTTTAGCTCTGTCCCTGTGCAGCCTCTGAGGGGCTCTGAATCTGTGTGTCCAGCTGCTCTTCCGGCGAGGACACCTGCAGCTCTGGCTTAGCTGAGAGAGCGAGCCACTGGAAGGCCGAGTCTCCATCTGGAGTGTTACTGGGGAGGAGAACGAAGACGACCACATAGAATATGACTGTGTTTGCCAGCCCCAAGCCATACAATGAATTTTGAATCCCACGGCTCTCAGATTGAGACACGTCAGCAAGGATACATGATTCTGGCGTGTTGGTGGTCAGTTGAATAGTCCAGTGGAGCCGGTGCAACATATAACCTGATTTCACTGGCACTGCCGTATTCATGTTTAACTGGAAACCTGCATCTCATGTTTTCCTCTCGATGCATGAAAATACATTGAAATATGGAAAGGGCTGTGCTGCCTTCTCCTCTTGGGTTTATTTGATTTGTTTTGGGCTGTGAAAGCGGCATTTTATGGCATTTTACAGAGTTGCTCCCTCAGCAGGTGTAGCATCAGTGACCTCCACTGAACTGAATTTGACCTCTGTTGTACTGATTGTTGTGACTCAATAAAAAAGAACAAAGTATCTACTGCACAAGTTTCACTTACCTTGGAGCATGCCTCTGTGGGGTGAAAGAACTGTACCTTTTCTTTCATTTTCATTTTGCTTAATGGGTTCTCCTGCATTGGCCATGGTCATTATTCTTGGAGTTCTAAACTGTGCTATTAAATAATGGGACTTCATTACAATGTGGAGCTGTGGCCTGACGCCCTAAGGGGTCAGAGACCTGTGGCTGTTAGGTTGGATGGCCTGGCTGTGAGCTGGAATTGCAAGGGGTGTGAGGGAACTTGGGTGGAGTCCTTTAAAACCTGATGACCTTTGACAGCTATTTGCCTGCGGTGTCCTCAGGAGTGTGCTGAGAGAAAGTGTTTATTCCTTTGTCTTTTGAAGCAGCTATGCCTGAAGTTGGCTGTTTTGGATCCTCACATGCCACGGTGGCTGGGCAGGCTGTGTCAGTGAGCTGAGGAGCAGCAGCAGGCTGTAATTTGGCACCTGTGCAGGCCTATGAGGAGCATTTGCTGGTCTGGTGTCAAAGGAATTGGCTTAACCCTTCTGTTGCCCTGCACTCCCGCCTTGTTTGGGGAGGAAGCTGCCACCTGCTTTATGTTAGAAGAGCAAGCTGCCAGAACAGGAGCCATCACGTGGCTCCCCAGGGAGAAGAATGCCTTCCCTTGGCCTTAAGGCAGTTCTCTGCCAATTAAGCCCTGCTCCCTCTTAGCCAGGGGCAGGCACACCTTGAGCCTGAGGGCAGTGGGGTGGAGGGGTACAGATCTACTGACAAAACAACACCTTTATTCCCCCCACCCCTGCAACCTCTGAGTGCCTCCTCCTCCTCCTCTTGGTGGAAAAACCAAAGGCAGAAGGTGAAGGGGGAAAATCTGGACTTTGAAGTTCTGGGTCTCTGAAGGGATGGGAGATTGACAGCTGGTGATGACTGGGGCTTTGAAGCGAAGCTCCTGCTGCAGGCTTGGCGTGTGGCTGCAGTCGCGATGTTGCCATGTCACACAGCCACTCCCTCTCAAGGCTGGGGCGACTGCTGCCAAGTGTCACATTTAATGTTGGTCTCTGTGCTTTAGAGTGGTGTGACAGCATTACTGAACTGCGTTGTGCTTCACTGTTTTACGCTCTCTTATTGTTACCTGGGTTTATGTAAATGCTTATCTACGATTTACTGGTCAGCTGGCTAATCTTCCACTTCAAGTGCAGCATTCATTCCATATGGACAACGGTTCGTGTCCCAGCTGCTCCTCTTTCCATCCAGCTCTCTACTTCTGGCCTGGCAAATAAATGGAAGATGACCCAAAGCCTTGGAACCCTGCATCTGCAGGGGAGACCTGAAGAAGCTCCTGGCTCCTGGCTTCAGATTGACTCAGCTCTGGTTGTGGCGGCCATTTGGGGAGTGAACCAGCAGCTGGAAGAGCTTACTGTCTCTCTCTGTGTAAATCTGCCTTTCCAATAATAAATGACTAAATCTTAAAATGTTAATACCATGGTTACTTATGCCTCCAGGCTCTTGTGTTATCAGTTTACAATATATCTACCTGAATAAACAAAGTTATCAATATCACCAATATGAAGAAACTGTCACATTCATAAAGTATGTTTTTTTTTAAAGATTTATTTATTTTTATTACAAAGCCAGATATACAAAGAGGAGGAGAGACAAGGAGGAAGATCTTTCTTCTGATGGTTGACTCCCCAAGTGACCACAATGACTGGAGCTGAGCCTATCTGAAGCCAGGAATCTCCTCCAGGTCTCCCAAACTTTAACTGCTACGCTACTGCTGCGCTATCCACCAGGTCCCATAAAGTATCTTAGTTGCCTCAATAATTACCCACCTATTTTTATTAACATATTGCTACAAATTAATGGAGTTGGGCCTGGTGCAGTAGCCTAGTGGCTATAGTCTTCACCTTGCATGCCCCCTGGATTCTATAGGGGCATCGGAGACCAGGATGAAACTCCAGGCTCCTGGCTTCAGATTGGCTCAGCTCTGGCTGTTGTGGCCACTTGGGGAGTTTAATGATTGGAAGACCTTCCTCTTTGTCTCTCCTCTCTGTATATCTGCCTTTTCAATAAAATAAATAAGTAAATAAATAAATAAATAAATAAATAAATAAATAAATAATTCTTTAAAAAAAAACCCACAAAGGATTGAGTTAACAAAGGATTGATGGGCAGAATTTCTGCATAGACAAAAAATGTCAAAAAGAAAAACCCAATGAATATCAATTTTTTTAAAGATTTATTATTTATTTTTGCTACAAAGTCAGATCTGCGGAGAGAAGGAGAGATAGAAAGATCTTCCGTCCTATGATTCACTCCCCAAGTGAGTGCAACAGCCAGTGCTGTGCTGATCCAAAGCCAGGAACCTCCTCCAGGTCTCCCACACGGGAGCAGGGTCCCAAAGCCTTGGGCCGTCCTCGACTGCTTTCCCAGGCCACAGGCAGGGAGCTGGATGGGAAGTGGAGCTGCCGGGATTAGAACCGGAGTCCATATGGGATCCTGGGACGTTCAAAGCGAGGAATTTAGCTGCTACAGGCCACGCCGTTGGGCCCTGAATATCATTTCTAACTTACTCAGTCCAGCTAAATTAGGATGTAATTTTTATTCAGCTTTCAATTGCTCCACTCTTTCTCCCTAACTTTATGATGTTTTAAATATAGATGACTCAGATGGAAAGTCCCTCAGGAAAGGCTCTAGGTCCTAGTTGTACTTCCCTCCAACCCTTTGTCCATCACAGTACTAGAGCGTGGATGCCTGCGTTCGCTTCCAGCAGTGATTCCTAATTCAGAGAACTTCAGAGCCGGTATCATCTGAGACACTGCCTCCAAGCTGGCCCCACATCTTTGACCCCTCCCCGAGAGCTCCCGAAAAGAACAGCATCCTGAGATGCCACCAGACCTCTGGCTGCAGTTCCACTCTCATCTGGTTGGGGGGCCTTGGATAAGTCACCGACACGCCTTGGACCTCACATTGCTCTCCTGTCAAGTGGAGTGGGTGGACTAGAGGAGGTCCCAGGGACAGGTGCTGACAGGGAAGAATGCAGGGCAGTGGGCAAGCAGGGTAATCACCTGGGGAGGTCTCTGAAGTGGCACATTATGTGTGTCTACACGGGCATGTTGGTCCACTGTTGCCATGTCTTGGATGTTTTCAAGGACATCTCCCAATTTCAATTTTTAGATGAAATTATATTACTTTTCACCCGTTGGTAGCTCATGCACCACATGTGTTTGCCAGTGTGGCTGAGCTAGCAGGCAGTAGCTCTTTTGCAGCATCTGGGGCTCTCGTTTGGTGGCTGTCTGCAAGGCTAGCATTTTAATGTATTCAGCATGCATGATCTTTGATTATGCTTACTGCAGTAATTAAGCAACTTATAAGTGAGATCATATAAAGATCATGGGTATGCTTTTAAAAACTTGTTTCTGGGTTCTCACATTTCTTTAAGGTGAAATAAAGCAAGGCGAGAGAGGCAGAAAGCATTCTTTTGGGTCCCAGATCTCAGCCCTTCGCAGGAAGCTCCTGGACAGGTGCTCTGGGCTGGACTATGTGTCCTCTTGGCCTGGGAGGAAGATGGGTTCTCACGTTGGAGGCCTTCAAAGAAAGAACAGACGTACTGTGTCATTGAAGTCCTCAAAGGCCCCATCTGATTTCAGAATATAAGAATTACACCCAGAGAGCAAGCTGATTTGAACTTCAACTAGAGATCTAAGGTCTGCCTTGGTCTTGATAGCTGTAGGGATTTTCTCTTAGATGCTTTGCTGGTCTGGGGTAGGGTTGGGAAGACAGGCGAAGCAGCCCAGGAAATGACACCTAACTTTCCTGGCTGCGCTGTCTGTAGGTAATAGCACACATGTGCCACAAAACTGCTTCTCAGGTCTACAGTCTCACAAATCCAACATACATGTCCCTGACAGATGAGCTCAGGGCACAAGAAATGGGCTGAATTGGTTTGTATTAATACACGTTGGCTACATGAGCATTTTTCACTGATACGTGGGGTTTGACATATACCGGGTTGAAAACATTGTGCTTCATTTTGAGAACTCTGCACCACCTGTTGGCAGTTGTTATGTAGTCTATGGCAGCCTTTATTTTCAAATCCACTTGTTTGTGCTGTGATTTTTATCATTTCTTGCGTCCTGTACATTTTTTCTTTTTTTAATAAGTCCTTGAGATGCATTATTAGATCATTTATTGAGATCTTTCAATTGTTGGTAGCCACCTGTTGCTATAAATGTCCCTTTCAGTACTGGTTTTGCTACATCTCATGGGTTTTGGTGTTTTTTGTTTTTATTTTCATTTCTTCAAAAAAGTCTTTTTTTCTAATTAATTTCTTTAGTGACACATAGATCATATGGTAGCATCGTTTTCTTCAAGAAGGTTTTTTTTTATTTTTTTTAAAGATTTATTTTTATTATTTTTTATTGGAAAGGTGGATATACAGAGAGGAGAGACAGAGAGGAAGATCTTCTGTCCGATGATTCACTCCCCAAGTGAGCCGCAACGGGCCAATTCTATGCCGATCCGAAGCCAGGAGCCTCTTCCGGGTCTCCCACGCGGGTGCAGGTTCCCAAAGCTGATTTTCATTTTTTCAGTGACATATTCATCATTCAGTAGCATGTTATTTAACTTTAGGTTGTAAATTTTCTATTTTTCTGCCTGTTGTTGATTTTGTTTTATGGCTTCTGATTTAAGAGGATGTATAGTAACTTTGTAACAGGGACTGTCATATCCAGATGTGAGGATACAATGCAGTATGCATCTCTACTTCCAAATCAAAGATGGACTCCCAATGAAACTGTTAAATATATCTTGACAATAGAGTGCTGGACTCTGCCATTGTCCATGCCTACAATGTCAGGATACACTTAAATAGCAAAGTGACGGACTTAGAACTGTTTATGAAGGACTAGATCATTATGATATAGGGGAAATCGGAGGGGGAGAGGGAAAATCCCTTAGTGTATGGAACTGTATCATAAAACAATTAAAAAAATAATATTTTGGGCTTAGCGCAG